ATTTCCATGCCCGCTTTGTTGAGAGTTTTTGTCATAAATGGATGTTGAACTCCATCAAATGCTTTCTCTGCATCTATTGAAATGATATGATTTTTACCTTACAGTTTGTTAATGTTGGAGTACCAGTCCTTAAATAATTTGATTACATAATAAATTTCTAGTTGCCTAACTTGAGGGCAATAATCTTGCAGTATGGAAATGCAGCAACAATGACAGCCACACAGACAAAAGCAGTATGTGAAACAACAGTTGAAAACATGGGTTCAAAAGTCAGGTTGTTTAGTAAAATGTACTTCTTTTTTTTTGGCGGTACACGGGCCTCTCACTACTGTGGCCTCTCCCGTTGCAGAGCACAGCCTCCGGACGCGCAGGCTCAGCAGCCATGGCTCACGAGCCCAGCCGCTCTGGGGCATGTGGGATCTTCCTGGACCGGGACACGAACCCGCTTCCCCTGCATCGACAGGCGGACTCTCAACCACTGCGCCACCAGGGAAGCCCAATAAAATGTACTTCTAATGAGCAAGTTATTTATTTATTTGAGGTAAAAAAAAAAACCTGTTGTGTTTGTTTCTGTGCAGTGTTTACAATATAAATAGAGCTGGCTGAATGAATTGTGAAATATTGAATTAAATGTGGTTATTTAAAAGTAGCTTGTGTTTTTTTAATATTTCTCATATTTTCCCTTTCACTGTTCTCTGTCCCCTTACAGTTACTTCTTTATTATAGAAACTATTCTTAGATATAGATTTATGTCATATAATTGAAATATTTCTCTAGCAATAGATACTGTAAGATGTTTAGAAGAAAAGATATTATGCAAAAGAATTAGGAAGATTAAACCATTCATAGGAGTGGGGAAGAAAACCATAGAAGATAGAAGAAGAAAATAAAATCAGCAGTTAAGCAGTAACGTCAGTAGACAAGAAATAAAATTTATGGGCTTGGCAATAAAGGATAATTAGCTCTGAGGTGGCTTTTAGAAAGCAGTCAAAAAAAGTTCAAACTGAATATAGGGAGAAACGCTATATCCATGAATTATGGTTGCCAGATATATTCACTTTCAGCATGATTTTATATGTGTGTCATTGTGTGTTTTGTATAGGAAAATATTGTAGGAGAAACGGGAGAGGTTGATTATTCTCACAGCAGGGACTTTTAGCTTATGCTTCTGTAAATATATCATATTGAACTATAACATCCTTCTTTTATCATAAACACAAAGTTAGGCTGGATAAACATCACAATAATACTAAATCCTTGTCAGTTTGCTTTTCATATTTAGGTCTACAATCCATGAGGAATCAATTTGTGTGTGTGTCATAGGGATCAAGTTAGTTTTTTCTCACATGGACATCCAATGTCCCAGCACATTTATTGGAAAGGGCATCACCTAGTCAATACCTTGCCATATCACTTGGATCATAAAATAGTCTTTGCGTACGAATGGGTATCTCTACTCTGCTCTGTATATCAACTTCTCTATCTGTACCATGACACACACTCTCTAAACTACTGTAGGTTTATAACTATTGATGACTGGTAAAGCAGGTCTTGCAATCTTGTTCTTTGTTAGGAGTGCTTGGACCACTTACAGACTTTTGAAAAGTTAACTAAACTTAGTACCAGTTTGTCAACTTTCAGTTTAAAACTTGTTAAGATTTTTGAGTGGGATTACAATGAATTTAAAAATCAATTTGAGAAGAACGATCAAGCTTACAATATTAAGTTCTCTAATCCTTAAGCAGGATATGTTTATTATTTGTGTCAATATTTCATAGTTTTGTTAAATGTCTTTTGCTAGACTTATTCTTTTTTTTTTTTTTTTTGCGGTACGCGGGCCTCTCACTGTTGCGGCCTCTCCCGTTGCGGAGCACAGGCTCCGGACGCGCAGGCTCAGCGGCCATGGCTCACGGGCCCAGCCGCTCCGCGGCATGTGGGATCTTGCCGGATCGGGGCACAAACCCATGTCCCCTGCATCGGCAGGCGGACTCTCAACCACTGCGCCACCAGGGAAGCCCCTAGACTTATTCTTTAATATTTGATTTTTTGATAGAGTTGAGAATGTCTCTTTTAAAAAATTTATCTTATATTTCTTATTCATTTATATAAATTCAATTATATATACATTTATTCCTCTACTATCAAGAAAATTAGGTAAACTGTCTTAAATATTCTAATAGTTTACTTAACAGTTTATAGATTCATTGGGGTTTCTTATGTACTCAGTGATGTCAACTGTGAAAACTAAAATTTATGAATCTACTTCTGAGAAGATATGAAGTATTTTCCCTATTCTCCCCACTAAGTACAACAAAATCCCTGGATATGACATATGAAATAACCATAAGAAGAGTGAAAGATGGTGAGGATAAGGCTGACGGGAGAATTCAGGACTAGAAAAGTGGTGCGGTGGTGAGTGCCATGGGTTTTCTTTTTGTCTCATTTATCCCCGACACGGAGCTGAAGAAGCCAGCAACCCAGAAATGCCAACCAGTGAAAACAGAAAACCATCCACAAAATCCTGCTCTCCACCAAAAATCCAGGAAAAGGGCAGCCTAGCAAAACAGAAAACTTGTAGCTAACAACTACTCTACTCCAGCCAAGCACCACAGAAAAAAAGCATGGTCCCACCGTCATGCATAGCAGCAAAGTCCAAGGTGCAAACCTGAATTGCCACACTTGCCTGTCTGTAACAAGACACTCCAACTGCCCCCACTCCTAACGGGATGGTGTTAGAGACAGCCACCTAAGGGCCCCAGACATTCATTCTCACTGGGCAGTAATGAATGCCCTCCCTCCCCAGGGAGTCACTGGCAACTCTGTGCAAAAGCTAGACTTCTCCTACCCAGCAGCTGGTGTCAGAGGAGGACTTTTACCAATGCCCAGTGGTGTTAGGTTGTACAAATATTTGCAAATGAAACAACACATTTCTAAATCATTCATGGATCAAATGGGAAATCTGAAGAAAAGTTAAAAGGACATTGAACTGAATGCAGTGTTTTTCTGACTTGATCTTTTTACATTCTCTAGAAGAATCTGAAATTTCTTATTTCTTCCTTAAATGTTTGGTAGGTGGGAACGTAAAACTATCCGGGCATGGAGTTTTTTACTTATGTTTTCATGTTTTATTTATTTCCCAAGGAGGATGTATTTAATTATGGGTTCAATTTATTTTAAAATTTATAAAACAATTAAGATTTTTAAAAATTCTTCTTGTTTCAGTTTTGTAAGAGGTGTTTATCTAGGATGTGTCCATTTTACTTAAATTGTCGAGTATGTTAGCTTAAAATTATACATGATACACTATTATGACTTTTCATGTCTGCCTCGACTTCTCCCACTTTCTGGCAAATTCCCTTCCATGGGTTTCATTTTCCTTTCCTAACATCTTGCCTCAGTAAAGGCTAATTCAATCCATCAAAAAATATTTTAATACATACATTCAAACTTTAAATTTATTGGGCAAAAGTGTGGTAATAATCCCTGAATGTCTTCTACCTGGAGATTTTTCTCTATGTAAGTAGGTACAAACGTATCCACAGGAGGTGGGAGAAGCAGCTCTGTTCAACTTCATTGTGTATCTATCAAGATTCAGATACAAATGGATATATATTTTTCATCACCTAGTGACACAGGCCCTTACCTGCCTAAAATTTCTACATGTTATATTTGCCATTTCAACACTATTGTCTTTGAGAATATTCCCCCAAAATATTTCCTACATATAAGAAGCCTGGAATTAAGTTACATAAAGGTATATCTCACCCTTGGTATAGTTCTTTTATGCCTTTTACTTTGAAAAATAGTCAGATTTTTCAGAGTCCAAGTTTATGTATTCATGAACATTGTATTTTACTATCACTATGTCAAGTTAGGAAGAAGGAACATACCAGCTCATACTTTCCAAACGAACTCACTTCTATGTTTTAGATGTTCTACCAAAGAGGAAAATTAGAAAGTTCAAAGGGTGAATTCAGAGAGGAGAGAAGGTTGGAAAGTGGTTAGAAGTGGAAATTCCCCACTTACTTACTCATGGTTCCCTCTTCTGACCCTTTACAATAACCAGTGGGAGAGCACACACACATCTGTGATTTAAAAATAAATTTTACCAATTTACATAATTTGTATAATTCAATAGGTAAGACATTAGAAATGGCAGCTTTGATTCCCAAGGAGATTAAAAGCCATTCAGAAACCCAATTCACCCACTGAAAGAAAAAAAGATGATTAAAAAAAAGATGAAGAGGTAGCCTCTGGAAATTCTATCAGGTCTGAAGTTTGCGGTCTCTGTGAACGTGGGCCACCAGAGCATCCTGCCGAGCTGCTGCCTGATAAGGACTGTATATCCTGTCTTCTTTGTATCACTTTGCATGCAGCTCACATTACTTCATTTCCTTTCTGGAACCTTTCCCCGGATTCTTCATATAAGGTCAAACGTGAAAGAGACGTGCATTGAGTTCTGGTGTCCTGAGTGACTTCTTCCAAATTTGTCCAGGCACTAATTTCTCTCTAAAACTCGGCTTTCTCAACTGAACTATGAGATCTTAATGATCATCTTTGCCCTGTGGATATCCCTTAATGTTTTGATGTATTCTTTATGAAATAAAACATAGAAAATATCTCTGAAAAATTTGAAAGTTATGTATTATGACCACGTGTGTTTTGTAAGGAGATTTTAAAGAGTTTATTTGCACAAGTTTTCTTTCTTTAGGTTTCTTGATGTGTTTCTTTGCTTTAGAGAATTGAAGCCATCAGGGCTGACCACACAGGAAGTTGGCTTTCACATTTAGATAAATAAGGAGGCAACCGAAAAACCTTCTGACCCCAAAATCTCTACCACACTGCATCCTGACCCTCTACACTTTGCTTTGTCCTAGTTAGTGTAATTTCACAGGTGAGATACCTTCCTTTGATTTAACAAATACTGATTAGTAATGTAAACTTGTAATTCATTATATATACATAGGAAGACACTCTTGCAAGTGAAATAACATGCTTTTAATAATCAGGACGACAGGTATCAAGCAGGACTGTGCTGGGCAACCCCTATTCACTGTTCATGCCTCTGCATGGATTTAAGTTGACTGCTTTCTCAGGCAGATTTCTTACACTTAAAAAATTGATTGTGAAAGGGGATGGAGGAGTAATAAGAAAATAATTAATTTTGCAATAAAGTTATTGTGGAGGGCTTGAATAGCATGAGGGCCAGTGGATACCTACAAAGCCCACTGATAGCATATGTTCTTGGTAATTTGGCCGGTTTTTATGTTTTCAATGTCTGCTTACTGCCACCTGTATGAGTGCTGATTTCAACAAAATACTTTGGCCGCTCTCCTAAAAACAAGTAGAGAAAAATGATTTCAGAACAAAAATAATAGATTTTGATCAATGTTATAATGTTTAAAAATATTTATTTTCATAAAGTAAGATCTCTAGACATCACTTTCCTGTGTCCAAGGAAATATAAAACAAATATTACATATATTATACATATATATGTTATATATAACATCAATTACATGTATTACACAATGGCATATATAACATATATTGCATATATTATACATTTATTATTACATATATTATACATTAATATATAAATGTATATGTGTGTGTTTGTATATATAGACATATGTAAATATATATATATATATATATATATATAAAAAATATCCATTCACCTGAATATGGCTCTGGAAGCAAGAAAACTTGAACACATAAAGTGTTTTAGTGTCACAAAAGCTGTTACAGTTGGTTGTAGGAGACTGCAGCTTCCTCTGTCTGTCTGTAACCTAGACAGACAAGCGTCACATTACATCATATCAGCAATTAGGCTGAGACTGCTCAGTTATTATCTGTTAACATCTTACATGAAATGAGGAACTTTTCTTTCTCATGACCTGAATCAAACTGTTAATCCTTTACTTATCGCTAAATACCTAATCTACACAAACACTGTGGTAGAAAGTTAATTTTCTCATTTATGATGTTTTCTTCCCCAAAACTTTGTAAGTTAGATGCTGATACCTTCATTGTACACATAACGAAGCCAAAATCCAGTGGAGTTGTATAACTTTCCCAAATCTGCATAGCTAACAAATGCTTGAGTTGATATTCACATACATTATTTCATGTATATATCCAACAAATAGTCGTTGAACTCCCTCTATGTTCTAAGCCTTATTATAGGTACAAGTCATTCATTGTTGTATAAGACAGCCATGTCCCTGCTCTTAAAGACCTTACTTTCCGGTAAGGGAAGTAAATATTAATAATTATTATCTTAAAAACTATATATATATATTTATATACAACTGAACTACAAAGTCTCAGATGATATTATGTTCTATAAAATAAAAGAGTGAGGTAATAAGTCATGACCAATGGGAGGTAATTTGTGCGGGTGGTCATGGAAGGTCTTATTGAGTAGGTAACATGTAAGGTAAATATAGATGAGAAGAAAGACTTAGCCATGAAAAATCTGAGATCAGAGGGAATAAGGGCAAGAGCACAGCCTATAAAATGAAAATAAGTTCAGCTTTTTCGAAGAACAGAGTGAAAGTCAACACAGCTGGGCTATAAGGAGTAAGAGGCAACATTGTGGGAGACATCTGTAAACACTACTCTATTTTGCGTGCCTGTTAGCCTGCTAATTGTTCTGAAACATTCAAACTTCGCAGGTAGTCTGTGTCCAGCTAAGAAAATTAGAGTTTCACACTTACATGGGAATCATCAGAGGGGAAAACGTACACTGGAAAATGGTATAACTGGACCATGGCTTTTGTGTCAGTCCAATAAGCTGTTGAAACAACCTGCTTTGCACTGGAAGAGACACAGCAAAGGTTATCAGTGTGTATAAGTATGTATTCTTTCCTTCTCTTTATATCCCATGGACTTGGAAGATTGCAGATAGATATATATATATATATATTTTTTTTTTTCTCATGCATTCTTCACAACGTGCTGTGTGTAATTAGTGTCAAAGTGCGGACATTAACCCAGATTCCCAACTCTAGGAGATGAAATAAACATTTAAAAGATCGAAGTTTCTTTAACCCAAAGAAATTAGTAAAAACATCAGCTATTCCCTTAAGTACCAAACTTCACTTCCCCTTTGTCATTCATCAGCAGTACTCAAGTATGCCCTTGCTACCCACTGGCAGTGTAAAGGCATTCATTTCTCAGCCCTACGATCCCACTAACCTCCCTGAGCAGCACTTTATATTTTGGAACTTTTATGTTTTTTATACATACTCTTTCATTAACTCATATTTATTAATTCACTCATTCAACAATATGTACTGAGTACATACTAGGTTCCTGTTACTATGTCACATGTTAGAGTCACAGAAGGGACAAGTCAGAAAAAGTCTTTACCCCCAAGCAGCTTACAGTCTGGTAAAGAAAGTAGGTGATAATAATGTAATGTCAGATCTTGACAAGTGACATAGAGAGAGATAAAGTCATGTGGAGTCATAGAGTAGGAGGTTCTATTTTACATAGAGAAGGCAAGTGAAGACCTCTCTGGGTAAATGATAGTTGAACAGTGAGTGAACTGAATTAAAGGGAGGGCAAAACATGCAACTAGATGGAGGAAGAACCTTTTAGAGAAAATGCATGACCCTGTAGTGGGAGGATGCTTGACATTTTTGTGGAACAGCAAAGCTGTGACTATTGGAGAGGGCAGTGGCTATGGTAGGAGAGGTAGCCAGGGGCCAGATCATGGATAAGGCAAAGTCTTCTCAAATATACAAGAAGGTCTTTGCATTGTATGGTAATTTTGATACGAAGCCGAGTCTAGTGGGAGAAGTGAAGAAGTGAACTTCTCACTAAAACGATACTACTTAATTATAAAACAACCCGTCTAGCTGCTATGTGGAAAACATACTAGGAACTGAGTGAAAAATAAAGAAGAACAAAGAGAGTTTTAGGACCAACGTGTACCTCTTCATGTCTTAGGTAAACAAATAAATATGACGGTCTAACTAGCCTACAGTAGATGGTAATTTTCTACCCACTTAACCATAACATTTTCACAAAGGCTTTATTCTGAAAACAGAATATCTGTACTCTAGTCATATTAATGATAAAATTTGAGGGCACTAAGATTATTAACCAGAGTGATATTTTTATCCCCTCCTTAAATCACTAGACACAGATATTCTACATTCATTTTGTGTTGACCTTAATAACTTATCTGGATGATATTAATACTATGGCAGTATATTTTTATAATAATCATTCTCAGATGTCCAAAGTGTCAGAGATATAGGAAAATAATAATCTAAAAGATTGGAGAAAAATAGAATAAGATATTACTGAGGGGAAATAGGGCAGTCTAAATGACAGTAAAATATGACATGAAAATTAACAGGAGATAAATGAAACAGATCATTTAAGATAAATAATTTTAGAGCATAGAAAGGAAGTACCAGCCACAAGGTCTATTGCCTCCATTAAACCAGCTACTGACTAAATGATACTTTGAAAAACTAGTCCCCAGGGAAGAATCGAATGACACATTTCTGGAAGCCAGTTTATAGCTTGCTAAGTTAAACCCTTCCAGACTGGAGAAAGATCCATGAGAATAGAGGTGGTAACTTTCTTATTCAACAATAAATCCTCTAACCCCAGACAGTGTCAAGTTCATAGTAGATGTTCAATAAAACAATAGTTGTTAAGTATATGATTATATGAATGAATGGGATTCCAGGGATATATTCCTCCCCACATTATTTCCATCTCAAAGATAGGAATCCCTAACTTTTAATTCTTTGCTTAGATATTCTGTTTCCTAAATTATTTGTTTTCTACAAATTTAAGAAAGGATATCTCGGATTCTGGGAAAACCGTGCTTGTCTCTTCACGCTGCACCTACAATTGTGAGAAAGCACGTTTCAGACAGCAGGGAAAACCCGTAGCTCACCACAACACCGCATTGTAAACTGTTTGGGCCACTAGAGCATGAATTAAAGAGGACAGGAGTAGCTGAAAGATCCGGAGGTGAGAGGAAGTGGGTGGAGACAATGTAACTGAATATAAATGCTAAGATATCTCAGAGACTCAGAGACTGAACAAGAGCTCCAGCAAAGACACTGCAGACTGGCTTGACCTGCGATTAACCAAGGGATCGTGACAAGGATAAAGATGAATTCTGAAGATTGTTCTGCAACAGAGACCAGCTCCTTGCATCTGAAAAGAGCACAACAAAGTAAGTCAGGTCTTACTCCTCATATACTGGTAGCATCTATCAATATATCTATATTTATACTATCTACCTACCTATCTATCTATCTATGATATATAACGGTAGTTAGGGGGAAAATGAAGCTTGTCTTTTGAAGAACTTGGTTACATTCTATTTCAGTTGGAATAAAGGAGAAAATGGGGAAGAAGTAAATATTTCTTTTTCTATGAGAAGACAAATAGAAACTTGAGAGGAAATCACAAGGGTGAATTTCAGAAGCTCTCTAAAGGTTTGTTTCTTTGTTTTAGTCTATATCATCTCAATTTTTCATATTTAATTAGAAACCTCACTGCCCTAGCCCAGTGAACTGGCCATCATTTTCCCAGATCCATCCTATAGGAAGCACTGACTCTCTTTATGGAAAACTCTGTTTTCCACATAAACAATTACATTCTTGATTGCCTTTACCTTGTACCATTTTGTGCTTTCTGGGTGGGCCTTCTCTGGTGTTCTCAAGACAGCATCCTCCAGTTGCTGGGAACAAAAGTTTCTAATTTTTGAGAGAATATCCATATGAACATCTGAACATTTACAGTGCCCAATGGTAACTTATTAGGAGAAAGTCATGAAAGAATTCTTGAAAATGAAATCTTCTATATTCTTTATGGAACTCTTTTCCTCCATTTCGCTCTTCTATTTCACCCTTCTAATCGTGGGCTTCAAATTCTACATGAATCAGATGTTTTTCTTCCTTTCTTTTATTTTTCATCAAAACATGATCATCTTTGCTATATGCTTTTTCTTCTTTTCTATTTGTCTATTCTGTCCTCAGACCTTTCATTTTCGATTACCAGGATTGTCCCATTGTTTTACAATAATTTGTTTTGGTGAGGCTTTCTTGATTGGTTTCATTTCTCTCTCTCTTCCTCTCTAATTAATGAGGTGCCCCAAGCACCAGCATGTAGGAACTAGAGTTTACTTGTAAGCAAACCTAGCCAGTAACAAAGAATGTGTTATGAACAGCAGAGCTAAAAAAATCTAGAGGAAGGGATTGTTTTCTGAGTATGGGTCTACTAGACTGGTTTGATTTAGAAAAGCATTCATTACCTCTGATAAACCCATCTTTCGCTTAAGAACACAAAATCAAGTGTGGATAACACGTACAAGCCACAAAAATTTTTTGGTAACCAGATAGCCATAACTTGATGGCTCAGCTGAGCTGCCCCAAAGAAAAAATATATTTAAGAATAAAACCACTCAATAAACAGCATAGTTGAAAGAAGAAGGAGCTATTGTAGTAATTCTTAACTTTTCCTGAGATCATTCCAATTTTCTGTTGAATATTTAATTTGTGAATGTTTAGTCTACGCTGCTATTTGTACTTGCTTCATTAGTATAAGCAATTATTGAGCACCACCCTTGGTGATTCAATATGTACTAGTGGATTTGTTTTCAATTTCTCCAGTAATGGACAGGGCTTGTAATCCGAGCAGAAGTATGCTCTTAGGGGAGTGTTTTCTTACCTAGGGGATAAGTCAAACTGTGAGTAACAATAGCCCTCACTAATGGATATAAAGTACAGTCTGAGAATCATCTCCATAGCTTACCCACTGGATAAGCCAATAGAGTGAGTCCAGTGGATAAGCCAATGGGCTCTGGCGTCCATGAGTTACTGGGATGTGTTGGCACTTGCTGAAGAGCCAGAGCTGTTACTGCATTGAGTTTGAACCCCATGATCGAGTCTCACGTGGTAAGAAGTGAAACTAGACAGAGAGCTCTGAACTTGCTACCCTAGCTACGAAAGGCTGCTTCCGGTGACAGTTGTATGCTGGTGAAAAAAGGAAGGTTTGCTTTAAGAAGCTGAGAGAAATAGAACCAGATGGGAGTGAAGTAAAGCCTTCTCTTGCAAAACCTGAATGCAGATCTATACTGGGAGAAACAATCCTCAGAAGAAGCAACAGTTGATGCTGACATCCATTACATAGCAAAATTACTGTGAAAGAAAGCAGCATCTCTTTGCCTAGTTTAACCTTAAAGAAAGGCTTTAAGGAAAAAAAATACACGAATTTCAAGTTGTGTCTGTATAGACATCCTTTTAATTATGAAAGCCACCCATACTGAAAAATAGGATATTTTTGCATATTGAGACTATCTTTCATGGTAAGTTTTAATATCATTCAAGTAGTTATTTTACATTTCAGTTTTTGAGAGCATAATAGGGATCTATATATTTCCTGTGAGGCCGAATTTTAAATATCCTGATAGCTCATCCTAGCAAAAATCAAATTCAAACTCTGAGTCACAAAATTCCCCTCTCTCCTTTCTCAATTATTTATTTCTAATCTAGAACAGATATCTTTCTAGCTTTGTTGTTGGTGGTGGTGGGTGTTTTTTGGTAACTAAGAATCATCATTCACATCATATTCATATTCTAAATCCTTCCACAAAAATATTCCTCATTGATGAAATAAAACTTACTTGGTTTTAGCATTATACAAAGGATAAATGAAAAAACCTATTTCCACCCAATATTTAGTCTATAGTACTGTTAAATTTCCTCTATTATTTTAACTTCTCTTGGAAAATTCAAACATCTTATTTTTCAGTCACCTGTTATTTTTAAATGAGGTAAAATTGACATACAATGTATGCACAGATCATACATATACAGTTTAATGAGTTATAACTACAACTCCAACCAACATTTGGCATTTTCCATCACCCCAGAAAGTTTCCCTGTGTTCCTTTCCAGTCAAATTAATTTTCCAACACATAAAAGCAATCACTTTTCTCATTTCTATCATCAAGTTTAGTTCAGCTATTCCTGAATGTCACATAAATGAATATATACAGTATATAATTGTGGCTGGATTTTTTTTGCTCAACATTTTTTTTTTGCGATTCATCCATTTTGTTGCATGCATCAGTTGTTCCAATTTTTAATTTCTGAGTAGAATTTCTGGTATGGGTATACCATAATTTGTTTATCCATTTTCCTGTTGATGGATACTTGGTTTATTTCTAGGATTTGGTTGTTA